ACTCGTGTGAATCGGGTGGTACGCGTATGAGAAGTATCTGGAGGCGAAGCGGAAAGCCTTGTACCTGGGGTCGCCAGCTCGGCTCAAGGCAGCCGCCCCACCACTGACACCATGACCATCACCAGAGACGGCTCCCAGGTGAGTGGGTGTTGAGAAGATAGAAGACAAGGGGAAGGCTGTGTAGGTGGATTAAGCAGGGCAGCTGGTCCCAACACTGGCACCATGACCATCACCAGAGACGGCTCCCAGGTGAGTGGGTGTTGAGAAATAGAAGACAGGGAAGGCTGTGTAGGTGATTAAGCAGGGCAGCTGGTCCACAGCTGGTCCCAACTACATGGCCATGACCATCACAAGAGACGGCTCCCAGGTGATGTTTTTGAAACATTTTAAAAGGAAAGGGAAGCTGTACAAATGGAAATAATAGAGCAGCTAGGCACCACTGACACCATGACCATCACCACTGACACCATGACCATCACCACTGACCCATGACCATCACCACTGACACCATGACCATCACCACTGACACCATGACCATCACCACTACACCATGACCATCACTGGGCGCAGCAAAGGCCATAACCATGGAGGCGCCTCAAAAGCCATTACCCCCAGGTACATGGCTTTCCTCTTCGCCTCCAGGTACTTCTCATACGTGTACCACTTCAAAAGCCATTACAAGGGCTTACCATCACCAGAGACTGTTCTCAGGTGAGAGTTTTGGAAACGATCTTTCAACGGGGGGGGCGTGTTTTGGTGGAATCAAAAGGGCAGTTAGCCCCAACCGCTGACACCATGCCCATCACTAGAGATAGCTTCCAGGTGAACTCTTTGAAGGTGATTTTAAGCTTGGGAGAAGCTGTTAAGGTAGAAGGAATTAAGAGGGCGGTCAGCCATGCAATGATAGCATGACCATCACCATGGAGAACTTCGCTGTGAGTGTTGTTCAACCAATCTCATAGGTGCCTCAAACGCCACCTCAGGTTTGGGAGATGATAAAAGGGGAGAGTATTTAGGTGGGAGTGTTGTTGAGGACGTGTCAGAACAAGTGGAGAAAATCCTATAGCTGGTGGTACTGATAGGCCACCTAAAGGGCAGACCACTACTACTATCATGACTGAGACAACATATGGCTCACATGTTACCAACTCACGGTAGGACAAGTGCTTGAGAGGTTTTACGTGATGTAATGGTTGGGTTCTTGGGAAAAGTGGTTCACATGTGCCAGTCATGGTTGCCTCAAGCTATTGTGCTACTGAACACAGAAACTGTATTGGCAGCTGTATTTCTAAGCTGCTACTGTTGTGTTTTCTTTTGTGGTCAAATGCAGGTATCCTCTAATCTACACTGGCAAGGAGGCAGATGGCCAAGACTCACGAAATGGCCTAGTCTGAGCGTGGTGGGCGTGTTTAGAAAAGAAACAAGGCAATTTTTTGCCATGTCAGATGTTCCTACAAGCTAGCCATGATAGTTTTAGTCAATTCGAATGTGTTGATATGTAACGAAGCACTAACCAAATTGCTTCAGCAATGGTGGTGATTATTTCACCAGAATGTTTTGCCCATAAGCTAGTTTGGGACCTTGGCACTACTGTCACTAACAAAACAAGGGTATGGAAAAACGAAAATATACATGAATGAATTATTTAGAGAAGATTGGCCAACAGCCTTTACTGTAATGAGGTGCAATACGTGGAGGACAGAACTAAAAAGCAACTTACCACGGTGGAGGTTCCGCGACAAGCCAAACTGACCAAAGTCAGGTTCGTGACCTGCTCTGGTCAGTCACGGGAGACATACGAGGCACGTCTCTCGAGCACAAACCAGTCATTCGGCAAAACAAGAACCTTTTCCAAAGCACCCCGACTTCCGGACAAGCCTCGTTCGGCAACACCAAGCCTGGACGTGACACACGTAGCATGGCGGACGAGCCGCTTTGCGAAAGTCACCATGTTGGCCCGTCTTGCGCGACGGCGCGAGGAGTTTCCCTCGTCGTGACACGCGACTCGGTCACCCACATTTCTCACATCCCATTCCCCATCTTGAAAATTCCCAAGGCGAGGCGGAATGTGTATCAGCGGCGCGTCACAAGCGACATTTCATGTGACTGCAAGTAGCCAACGCCGCTCCCTCCTCTTTCTTATCTGTTGAGCCCTTCTCTTCCTCTCTTGCTCTTGGTGCTCCGCCGTAGTTTCGTTTCCCTCTTCTACACTCAGTAAGGGCCGCCGACCACTAGCTGACGACGACCCATACTCCAAATTCTTCTGGTTATTTCTTATTGAGAAAAGGATAGCAAATACCAGGCAGAACAATAAGCAGGACTTCTGAGCGCGTAGAGCTTGAGGTGGTGACGATTGTTTAGCACATACGGTTTGAGTTTTAGCAGCTGCAAGCTTCAGATATTTCTTTGTCGAATCCGCACCATGGCTTGGAGATTTATGACGCTCGCACTCGTTCTCACCCTCGCTACTTTCGCCGCTTTCCCACAAGCCAGCGGCGGCAAATACGAAACGTGGGCTAAGGGATTCACAGCCACGTACTACGGCGGACAGGGCGACGGCGGATCTTGCGGGTACGGCACTGCGCAGCAGTCTGGATTCGGCGTGTTCACCGCGTCGGCCTCCGCGTCGCTCTACCAGTCCGGGTTGTTGTGCGGCGCGTGCCTACGCGTTAAGTGCGTCAACAGCCCGCTCTGCAAACCCGGCGTGTCGCCGATGGTCACCGTTAGCAACCTTTGCCCGCCGTTGTCGTCAGGGGGTTGGTGCGACGGAAACAAGATGAGTTTGTCGCTCGCGCCAACAACGTGGAACATGATTGCGACGAATCCGAACGTTGGGGTTGTACCCGTTATAGTGAAGCGCGTGCTGTGCCAGCGGAAGCGAGGGATCGTGTTCAACGTAACCGGAAACCCGTACTACATTGAAGGTGAGAAAACAGCCTTTTCGCAAATCGCATTTTAGCACACTCGCACTCCTTTACTCCCAATGATAGCTTAGCTCATATCACGACAGATGCTTAAAAGTTCTTCGTTGTGTGTCTATGAGTTCTTCCTGGCTAGCTTAAGCTTGCATCTGCGCTAGCTTAAGCTAGCAGCGGTTAGCCGCGGCTGTTTGTGGTCCATCAGAAACCTCCTCGCGGTTTCTTGCATGCAATTTGCCCATATCTCATTGCGTTTCCTATTCTGCTCCGCGGCCGCTTGAGCCCGCGATCGTTTCGGCAAGCCCCATCAAAGCAAGCCGAAACTATCCAGCTCAGTTTCGTCATGCTCTCCATTCACATTCTCCTACTCCCGTCGCGTCTATTCATATTCATTATTGCAGCTTTGATCAAGAATGTCGCGGGATCGGGCGATCTGCGCCGGGTCGACCTCTCGCTAAACCGCGGCCCATTCCAGCCCATGGTTCGATCCTACGGGTCGGTCTGGACGTTTTCCGGGCAGAAGATGACGGGCAAGTCGCTTTCGTTCCGCCTCTTTTCGCGCAACGACAACGCCTCGCTCGTCATCTGGAACGCGCTGCCTCCTAACTGGGTCCAGGCCGTAAACTACATCTCGAAGACGAATTTCGGATTCGCGTAAGGACGGGTTGAAAAGCGGTGTAGAAGTTACGGTTGGGATGGGGATAACATACGTAACGTGATAATGTGGGCAACCGGGAAACACGGTGCTGGAAGCGGTCTAGAAGCAGCGTAATAAAAATCGGTAGGGCTGGATTCGAAGTTTGCTGAAATGTGACGTGACATTCTTTTAGCCGCTTTGAAATAATAAAGCAGACTAGGTGTATCTATGCAACCTGTTGCATACCAAATCTTCTCGTCACATTTGGCGATGGTGTTGTTTTCATGCATTTAGATTGTAGTATCGGTGATGATGGTTGACTTGAACGTATGCGGATAGGATGGGAGGAGCAGGTGCGGAAACTGCATGTTGTGTCAAGAAACACCGATAATGAGCCAGGGAAAATGAGTTTTGAGATTGGCAGATTATGCAGCATCCTCATCCTCCTACTTGATACCCCTCTTAAACGCCCACACACTACAGTATGAGTGCTTAGAGGCCACTCACATGAACATCGCCCACTTGAGATGCATGAACACCTTAATAGTAGTTGTGATTGTCGGTGCCGTAATCCTTGTTTTTTTGTGCATCAAAACATTTGATGTCAAGTGCACAATACACCCACAGACAAAGCACAAGCAGTGCCCTTCCAACAAGTCAAGACATATTACAGAGGCGCACTGTGCATGTCCCTTCTCATTCCAGAAACACTCCCACACCTCCAAGTCAACCCTCCCAAGCTACCAAAGCATTTCTGCTGCACTACTGCAGCAGCAGCTCGAAATGAGCTGCTTCCTGATGGAAGTACAATCAACTAAGAAATACAGGACCCGGTGATTCCTCTTGCAATCCCATCCCATAGTTAATCGCGTGGCGTGGCACATGGCGTATCCCTCCACGTCTGCAAAGAGTAGGCCCTTGTAGGCCCATGTCAAACAAAGGGTGCCACAGGGATGCTTGCAGCTGACACGTGGCAAGACGAGATTGGAGGGCAGGGGAAATGCCGGTAAGATGTAAGGGAGGGGATGAAGGGAAGGAGTTGGTGGTGGATGTACAGCAATGAACAGGCCCATGTCAAACAAAAGCTGAGCTGGTTTTTTAGAATTCTCAAAAACCAGGAGGGGGGTTGGTGGTCGAGGTACAGCGAGGAACAAGCCCTTGTCAAGCAAAAGCTGAGCTGGCAGCTGACACGTGGTGTTCTTCCTTATCATAGCACGTGGCATGGTTTGGACAGAGGGGCAGGTGGAGGAAGGGTTGAAATGCAAGGTGGGGGGAGAGGCAAAAAAAAGAGGTTAGATGGATGGATGCATGGAGGCAGTGGAGACAGTGCATGGTACTGAAGGGGGACAAGAGAGGTCACGACTCACGAGTTGCAACACCCACAATTTGGCCCTGCCCATACCCCGCTTAAGTCTCATCCAGTTATGGTCACACCTCGTTACAGCTCACTTCTCACCATCATCCTCGAGTCTCGGGCGGCTTGCGATGTCCTCCTTGCAGAGCGGGCAGGAGGAGTTGATCTTGAGCCACGTGTCAACGCAGGATAGGTGGAAGTGGTGGCTGCAGGGCAGCTCTCGAAGGTCCACCCCGTCCCGATAGCGACCCAGGCAGATGCAGCAGAGCTGTGGGGAGGGGTGGAGGGGGATGGGGTGCGGTGGGGTGGGGTGGGGTAGGGTGGGGTGGGGAGACGCAACAGAAGGGGATAAGTACAGGAGGAGAGGGGAAGATCTGATAGTGGCCCAGGCCCAGGCAGATGCAACAGAGCTGTGGGGAGGGGAGGGGTGGAGTGGGGTGTGGTCCGGTGTGGTGCAGTTCGGTGGGGGAAACAGAAGAGAAGGGGATAAATACAGGAGAGGGGAAGATCTACTGATAGCGGCCCAGGCCCAGGCAGATGCAACAGAGCTGTGGGGAGGGGAGGGGTGGAGTGGGGTGTGGTGCGGTGTGGTGCAGTTTGGTGGGGGAAACAGAAGAGAAGGGGACAAGTACAGGAGGAGAGGGGAAGATCTACCCCATTCCGATAGCGGCCCAGGCAGATGCAACGGATCTGTGGGGTTGAGGGGGTTGTGTTGGAGGGGAGCTTATAAGAGTGGACGCATGGAACCCTAGAAACCAGAGAAAGGAGATGAAAGAAAAGGGAAAAGCATATGTTGCGAGATGGCAGAAAAGGGAAAAGCGTATGCAGCAGAGATGGGTGGAAGAATCGCTGGGAAGGCAGTGAGGCTAGACAGGGAGTTCGGAGGTGGGTTGAGGGAAGGAAGAGAATGGCACTCACAGCATCGCCCCCTCGCACTGGCCTCTGCTTGTCCGTGCCTGGCCAAAGCAGTCCCACCACACTCTCTTCCTCCTCATCCGAGTCCCCCTCACTCTCACTTCCCCCCTCGCTCTCCCTCTCCTTCTCACTCTCCTTCTCACTCGCGCTCTTCCTCCTATCTCCTGATCTTGCTACACAAGCCCCGCCAGTTGCACCAGCAGCGGCATTTCCAGCAGCACCACCACTACCACCACCACTGGCAGCAGCAAGAGCAGCGACAGGATTTTCAACGCCAGCAGCAGCAGCAGCAGCAGGACCAGCCTGACCAGCAGTGGCAGCAGCAGCAGCAGTGCGTCGCATCAGATATCCACCCAGCCTGCCAAACCACCCGCCCGCTCCTCCCCCAACACCCCCCCGCCCCTGCTCTGCTCCCCTCCCTCCTCCCACCGCTCCCCCCCCTCCTCCTGCCTCACAGGATCCTCCTCCCATTCCTGTGGCACTCTGCCCGCCCATCTTGGATTTCAAGATACCGTCACGAACAGCAGCAGCAGGAGCCCCGGCAGAAACATCAGCAGCGGCACGTTTCCCTCGCGGCCGGACCAACCGCCCGCCCTTCCCGTCCGGCAGTCTCCGGAACTTGAACGAGGGGAGGGACGTGATGGCGGTGGCGGTGGCGCCTCTCCTGCTGCGCGCGAGGGGGAACGCGCCGTGGTCGTCGTCGTGGTGGGGGTGGCCGAGGAGGTGCAGCAGGCAGGGCAGACAGCAGCAGATGGCAGCGCAGAGGAGGAACGGCAGTGCGTAGCTCACACAGCTTAGCGTGATGAACAGCACGCTCAAACTAGTGAGGGGGTGGGGTGGGGGAAGGGAGGGGGGGTGGGGGGAGGGGGAGGAAAGGGGAGACGGGAGATGGGGAGTGAGAGGGGAGTGAAAGGGGAGAGCGCAAAGGGGGAAGTGCACTAAATGGGCGTGCAGGGGTGGAGGGTGGGAGGGAAGGCGCTATGGTGGTGGGGGTGGCCGAGGATGTGGAGCAGGCAGGGCAGGCAGCAGCAGATGGCGGCGCAGAGGAGGAGCGGCAGCGCGTAGCTCACACAGCTGAGGGTTATGAACAGCACGCTCAGACTGTGAAGTGGGTGGGGAAACGGAGGGGGGGGAGAGGGGGAATTGCCCTTGACGAGCACACAAGCAGCAATGACGGGGTTGCTGAGAGGATATAGGCACTCACTTGTAAAGATTGGGCGCTGTGGTAGGGGCAGAGTGAGCGCGGAACACCCACACGTTGCCCAGCACGAACACAGACGTGCAGCAGGGAAGGGGTTGAGGCGCGGAGGCAGGCACTCACTTGTAGAGATTGGGCGCTGTGGTAGGGGCAGAGTGAGCGCCGAACACCCACACGTTGCCCAGCACGAACCACACTGCGAAGAAGCAGTCGACTGTTACTTTGTAACGCTCCACTATAGCCAGCACGCTGCATGCCCGCCAAGGGAGAGGTGGGGAGACGTGGGAGAATGGTAGGGGATTTTTGAGTCGACTCAATAATCGAAAAAGCAGTCGAGTGTTACTTTGTAACGCTCCACTAGAGCTAGTACCCTGCATGCCCGCCGAAACGGGGGTTGGGATTGGAGGCGTGGGAGAGTGGTTCGGAGAAAGCGGACCGCAAAAGGGAAAGAGACGGAGAAAGGGGGAGTTGAGGAGCAAGAGGAGGGAGAAAGGGAGATTATGCTAGGAGTAGGATTTACTACTCGCGGCCCATACCACCACCGCACGCCACCCCTTACAGCCGCATGTCACTCCATACCACCGCACACCACCACGGACTCACCGAGCGTCGTCTTGCAGCTCGTCGACGATCCAGCGCACACACGACAGCATCCTCTCCCCGATCGCCGCCACAATGTGCCGAAACCCGCTGTAACGCCCCGCACCGTACACTTCATCCTCGTCATCGTCATCATCATAACCATTATAGTATATTGCACTGTACATGTCTACACCGCTGGCTGCAGGCCACCCACCTCCTCCATCTCCTCCCGCGATTCCGGTGCTCCTCTCGGGATAAAAACCACGGGCCGCCTCAGGTGCGGGGTGTTGGGCGTACGATGTCGATTCGGCACTTCCAATAACGCTGTCCCCAAAAGGGGTTGCCCATCCGCCCGCCGCCTCCCCTCCACCTCCGCTCACCCTTGCGCCTAGGTACGGGGTGTTGGGCGCCGTTTGCGCCGCCGCAAACGCCGGTCCTCCCGGCGAGCGGGGCCGTAAGGACGAGAAGGAAGAGGAGGAGATGGACGAGTGTAAGGAGGAGGAGATGTCGACCGCTGATATGACGGCAGGGGCGGCACGTGGGAGTCTGAGAGGCGACATGGGCCGTGACGACGCCATTGCAGGCCGCGACGGCGTTTCGCGCAGCCGCCACTGGCGCCGCCGCCGCTCCTCCTCCTCCTCCTGCTGCTGCTGCCACAGTAAAAAGTCCCCGCCGTTGCTGAGGGCGCGGTGAGTGTAGCGAAAGTACAGAAGCGGGAGGAGCAAGAGGCAGCCGAGCGTGTAACCGAGTATCCACAGGCGCAGCGGTACGGGGGGCTTCTCGTGGGGGAAAAGCGCGAGCACGCACACGCCCGCGGAAATTTGCGCCAGGATGCAGAGCAGCTCGATTGCCAGCCACACGCGGGAGTTGAGCGGAACGGGCCGCGCCAACGGGGAGGCGGAGGAGTCGGAAGGGCGGGGGGCGGGGGAGCGTGCGCGCACCAGGCGCGGAGGGGCGGAAGCGGGCGGGAGAAGGGCTGTGGAAAGAGGGGAGATTGGCGGAGTTGATAACGGTGGTGTGGTTGATGCCTGTGGTGAGGGATGGAAATGGCTGGTGCCTTGATGGGTGTAGCCGGAGGTAGTGAAGCGCTGCTGCTGTTGCTGCTGTTGCTGCTGTTGCTGTTGCTGTTGCTGTTGCTGCTGCTGTTGCTGCTGCTGTCGTTGCTGCTGCTGCTGGGAACGCTGCAGGGCTTGCTGCAATAGCGTCGCCTCAGACGACTGGTCGTGAAGCTGACGGGGTGCGCGATGATTGGGGTAATCGCAGTCACCCGAATCCAGCGAAAAGGGTGGAGGAGAGGCAGGAGGAAGAAGATTAGCAACAGGACCCCAAGAATAATCTGCGGGGGCGCGGGAGGGGTGCTGAGGAGGAAAGGCACGTTGCTGATGCGCGGATGGGACGGCGGAAGGAAGCCCGGCGTAGTATTTTCCGTCGTTATTGGTCGATGATAATTGGTCGGAGAAGTGGTAGGGAGGCGTAGAGAGTTGAAAAGGATACGGGGAGGCGTAATCTGCGGCGGGATCACGGGTGTGGATGCGCTCCGATGCGTGAGACGAGAAATGGCGGGATCGACCATAGTAGCTGTCCGGGCTCGTGATGTTTCCGACGCCGAAAGGGCTCACCGGGGACGGTGGAATGCAATTCGGCTCCGTAGAGAGTGGTTCCATGGTGCAGGGTCTGGGAGCCTGGTTGGGAGTAGCAAACGACGATTGTGGGATTCGTCGTCGCCAATCTGTCATGTCGCCGCACGGGTATGTTTGCTGTGTTGAATCCATGAGGCGGCGAGGATCGCTTTATCTTGACGCCATGGACGGGCGATGCTTCTGAAGAGAAGTTGTTCGGGACGTGAGTTGGTTGGAAGCAGATGTGTAAGGGAGAGCAACGGAGAAGACACCACCGGCTAGAATTGGAACCGAGTTCTAAAGGTCGATAAGTGAACGCTGTGACCAAGGCACCGGGCTTTGTAAGAGGCATTCTACATAGGAAACCCAATGCGTTTCGTGAAACCAGGGTGGTGCAAAACCAGGGTTGATGTCCTTGCTTATCAGCAAACCGAGGGAGTTGCTTGAACCAGCGGATAGGATGAGATGGTGTGGGTGAAATCAGGGAGAAAGATGATCAACGGACGGATGAGATCGAAGAGATGAAAGAATCGGTGGGTCGGATGAAACCCAGGGGATGTTGTGGTGAAACCAAGGGTAGCTTTTTTGGAATGCAGGGGCGGCGCGGGAATGATAATGGGCCAAGGGTGAGTGGGTGGTGGTGGGCTCCCAGAAGCGCTGGTTCAATTCCAGCCTACCAATCGCAAGCAACGCGGATGGGGAAGGAAATGTAGAGGGGGTGGAGGGGGGAGGAAGGGGAGGGGATGCACTGAGTCTTCTTGACACACAGGAATCTCTCGTAGCAAGTGTGTTGGGCGTGTGCGCTGCAGCAATCCGGCATGCCGCCCCCTGGGCTACGGGGAAGCGCGCACGCTATTGGAATCCCGTGTCGCATTGGATGTGGCTTTTGCGACCCCTATTCAGCCAATCCGGACGAGCTTGGAAGGGTTTGGTGTAGAGGTTGCCAACCGAGCGGCTTCGCGTAAGAGTAGTGGAGTTCGCCTGATCCCAATGTTATGTCGTTACAAGCGATGCGCGAATCCAAATCCTCGTTTGGAGAACATTGCTGCATGCTGTTTCTCTTGATAAACGAATATTCAAGGGCAACGCGGCATCGCACTTCGCCAAAGTCACACGCTTGTGCCTTGTCCCGACTTGAATCCTCGAACTGCAATCCGGGGCAGCAACTGGCATCGCCGAGTCCAGAGCTGAATTACTTCTCGCCAAAGTCACAAGAATGCATTGACCGCAATGTGGATGGGGTAGTGTGCAGCAGTGTGAAACATCTAGTTGGAGTTGACCGTGCGATTTCAACAAAACATGCCTCAAAACTCCTTTATGGATCTTCTTTTGAGTTCTATTATTTAATCGCGTAATCCGTTGCGTACCTAGCGTGTTGGTGTGTTATGCATGAAACGCACTAGCTATGTAAACATGTGCATGACCTAAAATTTTAGAACGTAGTTATGGTAATGGTATATGAGAAAAAATCAAAATATGTATGTATATATAACAAAAACAATCAAAGCTAGTGCCGTATATTTCCATGAGGCAGATGTTGAGGCTATCGTTTCTCGAACGGTGATGTGATGGGATTTTTACCTAATTGATGCATGACAATAATGGCAGTAACCGCACCGTACCTTTCCTAGCAGCACTCTTCTACCACAGCCCTCTTCACCTCTCTTCTCATTCCCTCACATTAGGATCCTTGCCATCTAGGTCTAGACCCACCAACCCACACCGATGTGTTTCCCTGACCATCACCGCACACATGCTCACAATTGTCAAGAATGAAAGTGATGCATTCACAATGTTGGTTGGGGTACATAAACCTAACCCTAAGAGTTGCACCTTATATGACACACATCACTAAGACTACAACATTTGACACACCCCCATAGTCAAAGTGAGGGGTGTCAAGCAAAACCAAAAGTGCATGGTCACAAGATCAGTCACAAAGAAACAAAGCTCAGGGTGGATCACAACGTGACCACACACTCTGAGCACAAACAAAAGAGGCCACAAGGCCAGTCTAAGAGCTCACAAACATATAAGCAAAGTGTACAAGCAAAGCAAGCAGAGAACTCAAGTCTACACACGACGAGAACCTATGTCAACAAGGCCTAATTGCGCACAACACCTCTGGTGGTCACAAGGTGGAAGCCCCTCGGTGAAGATGTCTGCAGTGTTGGCCTCGGACTCCACGAACTCGAAACGAGCCTGTCGACGTCTCTGCAACTCTCACAGAAGAAAGTATCTGATGTTAATGTGCTTCACTCTGCTCTCCAGTCGCGGCTCTCTACAGAGGAGAATCAACGCCTTGTTGTCAGTGAACAAGGTCGGTGCAGAGCTCGGCTGTGAGGATCTAGGATCGAGTTCAGAAAAGAGAATGAGAATTGAGTCGAATTGAATGTCCACCTGGGTACAACACGAGGCTATATATAGGCTCGACACAAGGCCCCGTAACCAGGTGTTACGCGAAGGTTCCGCGGGTCGCGAAGCGTCCCAAACAGATCCTTACCGAATTCGGTAGAAGGCAATTCGGTGGCAACCGAAAAGCCAGAATTCGGTGCACGCAACCTAGCTCGGTGCTATAACTATAATAAAATATAGGAAAGCACCTAGCCTAGGAAATCAAGCAATTCATGCATGCATACAATTCATGCATGCATATGATTATCCTATGCTAGAAATAGCATGATAAAGTAGAGGCAAGCAAGCATAGCTGGCATAAGCCGTCGTACTCTCACATCGGCCGCCCATCAAGGTCGGCGAGCAAGAAGGTCAACCAACGCAGCTCCTGTGCCGCCATGGCACCAGCGTCGATCTCAGCCTCAGCCGTAGAGGTCGAGATCAAGGAGGAACGGATGGACCTCCACGAAACAACTCCAGAATCCAGGCTGAAACAGTACCCCTGAGTAGACCTGTGAGTCTCAGCGTCGTCAGCGTAAGAAGAGTCACAGTGACCAGTAAGTACGACAGACTGCTGCCCTCCAAGAACCAGTCCCATGCCTGATGTCGTCGCTAGGTACTTCGGCACTCTCACAGCTGCTGTCCAGTGAGCAGGACGGTGTCTCCCTGGCGCAACAAAGCGAGCAAGGATGCTGAGAGAGAAGGCGAGGTCCAGGCAAGTACAAGTTATCAGGTATATGAGGCAGCCCACCAGCTCTGCGTAGGGACCACTAGGCTCAAACGGCTTGTCAGGATAGGGTCTAGTGAGTCTGTGGTCAACAGAAAGAGGTGTGCGCTGTACTGTGGAGTGCTGGAGCTCGAACCGCTGAAGGACCTGCTGCACCATGTGTGACTGTGAGAGTGTAATGGTGCGAGCAGCTCTGTCCCTGGTGATCTGCAGGCCAAGGTAGTGGCGCAGCTCACCAATGTCAGTGCACGTGTGTCTCTTCTGCAGTTCGGACTTCATGTCTGCCAAGGCAATCCTGTCAGCAGTGGCGAAAACCAGGTCGTCGACGTAGACCAGAACAAAGAACGGTGTGGAGCCAGGACGAACGAACAGCGACGGGTCAGCAAAAGACGGTTGGAAACCAAGGTCAGACAGGGTAGAGCGAAGGGTGTCGTGCCACTCACGAGGAGCCTGACAAAGACCATAGACCGGTCGCCTCAGCCTCCACTGGGTCCCAGGAAGGAAAGTGCCAGTGAAGGCAGAGAGGGACGACGCAACCAGACCTCCTCGTGTAGGCTACCCTGAAGGAAGGCAGTGGAGAAGTCAAGAGAGTGCAGCTCGTAGTCTCTCTGTGCTGCTACGTGTAGTAACACCCGAACAGTGGTCATTTTCGGGGTAGGCGTGAAGGTCTGAAAGAAGTCAACTCCCTCGCGCTGACTGAAACTTCTAGCCACATAGCGCGCCTTGAAGACCGGAGGAGATCCCGGTGGCCGCTTCACCCTGAAGATCCACATGCCATCGACTACGTTCACCCCAGGGGGGGGAACCTCGTCGACGTAGGTGCCTGTAGATCTGTAGGAGGTCATCTCCGAGTCCATGGCAGCTCTCCACTGATAGGCCCAAGGCCCTGACATTGCCTCAGCTTAAGTCCGAGGAGTAGGTATGTCAAGGGCGTCGGGGTCTCCCTCAGGGGCGAGCAGCATGGCACATAGATGAGGGGAAACGGCTGCCAGGAACTCCAACTCAAACTGCTTGTCCTCTAGGGCGTCACAGCCAAGGGCAGACTCACCCCGGACGACCAGAGGACTGGTTGGAGGAGCAGCCATGAGAAAAGTGGCGTAGTCAAGGCGGCGAGTAGTGGCAAACTCAGTGCTGGCGGCAGTAAGGGCGGAGACAGAGGACAGAGAGGCACGAGGGTCCGTAACAAGAGAGGCGAGAACACGAGAGAGAACTGGTCGGTACGTGCGGTAGTAGTCTGTGATAGGAGTAGAGAGGGAAGCAGTGAAGGCCAAATGAGGGGGAGAAGGAAGCACAGACGACGACGAACGAGGCGGACTAGGACGGAACAGGACAGAACGAAGGTCCGTGAGAGGGACAGGGGATGAGGGACGAGCACGAGGAGAGCGACGAGAGGCCCAAGTGTGAGAAACAGGAGGGGATAACGGAGGCTGAGAACGAGGAAAAACAGCTGGGGAGGGGTCAGGAGGAGGAAGCGGGGGACCGGAGACGGGAAGAGAGGGGGAGGAGGGAGGAGAGGGAGAGGGGAGACGCAGGGCCCGAAGGCCTGAGACAGGAGGAGGAGATGGCGGCTGCTGCTGCTGCTGCTGCTGATGCTCCTCCAGCCGTTGTAGCTCCAGCTGCTGTCGCTCTAACTCTCTCTCCTCCCGCTCCAACTCCAGCTGCTATCGCTCCAACTCTCTCTCCTCTCACTCCAACTCCAGCTGCTCCTCACGGGCATGGCGAACACGGGCCTGGAGCCGGGTCGGGTAGGGGTGGGGGGGAGGAGTAGTGTCCGGGGCGGTGGTAGCCCCAGGACTGCTCTCTGAAGCACCAGACGCACCACCCCCAGAGCCAGCACTACCAGCAGCAATGCGGCTAGTCCCAGACCCTCCTGGTCCAACGGGGTGCGCACCCGCACCCCCAGTCGGAGCACCCCCAGAGACAG